GCAGTCTGCACGACTGCATGCGGCAGAGCACCTATAACAGAGGATGGCGCTAACACTTTGACCTACGTTTGCTGACGCAGCTCACTGTCGATTCAATAGACTCGTTTTCTGAGTTTCCTTCAAATCGATAAAGAAGACTGTGATTTTCTGCTGTTTCAAGGCGCGTCTTTTCCAGGTGTATCCCTGGAAGAAGCTTTACAAGCTGGACGCACTGTGCGGAGCCTTGACGGGGTGGTCGGGTTTCACGCTGCATCCCCCCACCCCTCCCTCCCCCCCTCTCCTCTGCGCTCGCGGTGAAAGGCACCCGGACCCCAATCACTTCCTGTAGGGGATGAGGGGAGAGGATGGGGGTAGCAAGAAGAGGAGAGAGGGGGAGTACTTTTGAGGCTGTCATGAGTTGTAAGAGGGGTTTTAACTGAACGGCTATAGGTTCGCGCCCGCCTACTGCGATATGTCACATGGGCTCAAGGAAGCAAAGCAAAAAGAACTTAAACCAAAAATATTCGATAAAATTTTGAGAAAATGACTTTTTTTTAAAAACAAAGTAAGCATATTCTCTTTCTGTCGGTAGACTACTCGAGGTCATTTGCACAAATTCAAGCGAGTCAGAAAACAAGTGACACCGCGCCCACCTATGCGCGTCTCGAGTGGGAGAGCGCGCGAGACCCAGGGGGTGGCGCGTGGGGTAGGGTTGCGGGTGGAGCGGAGGGTGGAGGGAGGGGCCGAGGGGAGGGTGACCGGGCTGTGCCCGGCACGCTGGTTGACACGACGATAATTAGTCCCAGGCTAACGCCTAATTATACAGTGTCACTAACACGACTCTGGACCAAGGTGGAGGGGGAGTGGTCCACGGCTGGCTAGGCGGGGCGGGGGCGTCCAGTTGATCGGCCATCGAGGCCAGGCTGGGGGCCCGGACCCCGGCGTGGGCGGGGACGTAGGACAGGCGCGCAGCGCTGCAGCGCACACTTCTTCAGATTTTTTTCCAGATCCATCGTCCTAAACCATATGCGAGATCAGCGACACGGAAAAAATATCTGTTGCCACAGCTACAATTTTTGTCAAAATATAATTACGAAAACTAATTTGTTGCAAGTGCAAATAATTTGCGAAGAGAACAAAATTCTTTATTCTTTTGCCACAATGAACGAATGGCTGGGGTAACGAGCGGGGTTTGTTCGGAATACAATAATACGTACGTTAGAATTCCGAACATACAGTTTGTTCGCCTTAGTATTTTTTTGGCTGAGTGATTATTGAAGCCCAATACTCCACTGACTGAAGAAGTTTCATTCTGTCTGACTGTCTGCGTCGCTATGCACGACAACTCGAGAAGGAATTGAGTTAGAAACCTGGGAATTTCAGGGTTGTTTTGTATCATAAAAAGACAGAGCGAGTTCAAAGATGTGCAGTCTAGCTCAAAAATTGGCATTAAAAATAAATAAATCAAAAACCTTAGGTTGCAAAAAATATTTCTATATGTTGTAAAATTGGTTTTTAAGGGGTAACTTTGAATAGTAGCACCCGGGAACGGAAATTTAGTCCGTTTTGCTCTATCTTGTACCGTTTCCGTTTTTTGGGGGCAAAAATTAGGTGAAAATGACGAAATGGTATGTGAAGTTGTGAAAAGGGCTTCATATCAAAAAATTGTAACGGAAGTAAAACTAAAGCAACACATTTGTCGTCGAACCGCACCACCGCACCATCCCTAC